TTCATTTGACTAAAAATGCACTAACATGTAAAATTCAGCTTTTCACATGTTTGCAGTCAAGTTTTGAAACACATTAGGTTACTCTTCCAAATTTCAAAACACCTGTCAGTCACTTAACATAATGTCACAATTTCATGTTTACTTTTAAATTTAAAACCCATGTCACCCTCATATCAGCATGCATATTCTCTACACTGTTCTCCCTAAATTTCCTAAGGTGCTAATGACAAGAATTTCTTTAACAATCAGGAGTTCTTTAGTTGGTGATCATTTCCTTTCCTCTCCTGACCTGAATATTTTATTCAGGGACATTGTGAGGAGACATTTCATGCAGATGATATCGATAGTCACTTTCAAGCATCTACATGTGAAGGTTAAATCAAAAGGGAAAAATCTTTAAGTCTCCAGAGTAGCCTTTGCCTTTGATGAACCATATGACAAAGACTGTTCACACTGGAGAGTAAGTTTAACAGTTGGTATCAACAAAAAAATTACACACACACCTTCCATTCCTGAATTTTGCTCTGAAATGTTAATAAGATCCTCCATGTCCTCTTCTTTTCTGGCCCTTTTAACTGTTTCTTCTTCATGTAATTTGTCTGCAATACAGTCTTCATCCTTCAACCACTCTCTTAGAAGCTCTCCATAGTCTTCCTCAAGATTGGCATCCATATCTTCAAGTTTAATTTCGTTGATGGCATCCTGATAGGGAGGCCCTGCAATATCCAAAAAGGTATCTTTGATCTGGTTCCAGTAGGAACTGAAAGTTGCATCATCTACTGAACCACTGGTAACCTGGCTATAAACTCTGTCTCTGAGGATCTTGATGAGAGTGATGTCAGCTGCTGGAGTGGTGTCCGTTAATGGAGGAAAGACATCATGGCCTGAAGTAGGGAGAGTTAAACCAAAGATATTCCTCAGAAGAAGAAGCAATACAAATGTGTCAAAGTTCCCTGAGGAGACTGAAGATTTGATTGGAGAATACAGTTTGTGCCACTGGGAGGTACTCAGGACTCTCTTCTTTCTAAGCGTTTGTAATTTTGCACGGTTCCAAGGATGAGCAAGAATTATGTGAAGGTTTTCTGGTGGACATATCCTGTCAAAGATCTCCCTCAGAACACAAGATCCAACATGTACGAGAAGGTGACATAGCCGAGCATAATTGGTGGTTTCTTTGGTAGAACAATTTGACAGAGTAGCAGAAGCCATGAAAACATCTCTTCTATAAAAAAATGCTTGTAATTAATATATATAGTAGGCAACAACACAAAATGCAAACAATTATTAGCAGTCTATGATTGCCTTTGCCTACTGCAGTGTGGTGTAAAATGCCAAACTTGGGAGAAAAGGAGGACTTGGTTAGAGCAGAAATTGTGTACTGGTTAATTGACAGCTGGAATAGGGTAGTGTAAATGTTTCTTCTCAAGTTAGAGTTTGCACTTGATTCCTGGATTGATACACGCGTATACTGTGATAAACACCAAACCAATGTAGGATCTTTTCTTTCTTTATCCCTTTCCTATTCTTTGAGGTCCTCTTATATCGAAGTGGTCAACTGAAATCATTACTTGAAAAAATTACCTCCGTGTTCTGTGATCATAGCTTTAAGAATACCGGTAATATCAGTTTGGGAAACGAGCATGTGGGAATTAAAGGAGCCAATAAAAGTAGAGAACTAGTGATAGATTTTGCTTTGAATCACAGCTACAATTTAACATAGTCACAAAATATGTTGTTGCTAACCAATGTTTGCGGATTTTGACTACTTTATTGAGGATTACGATCTAAATTGTCACTTATTTAGAAATGATTTTGATTACACAAGGTCTTATCCAGAACTGAAACACTTAATATAATTTCCTGTCTAAAAAGGAACTAATGACGGAGGTATTTATCAAACCAAAAAATATTTTCCAGCTTCTCTCAGAAGTAGTAAAATTCAGCCTTAACCGAAGCGGTTACAGGTAGGAAACTAATAGAATTCGTACATGTTTGAATTTATCTCAATACAAAACTTCTCCTTTTTGTATACACTGCATACCTGGTGCTATGGCTATACCTGCTCCTTTCGAGTCTGCAGATTCGCGCCCTGGCCGCATTTTTTCTTTTCTTTTAATCGATAAGATAATCGGTTAATCAAATCAAACACTACCGAATGTAAAAACGTTGTTGGAAGATGTCTTCAACAAGCACGTCTATCTTGCCAGTAGTAAAAAACGCAGTAAAATTCACATGGTGATGACGAACTAGTGAACCAACATCAATTGCTGCTTGATATAGAGATATCAAGTATATTTATGGGCTCCATTAAAAAGATGATTCGAAAATACCAACATGTACAGGAAGTGCTGACCGAAGCACAAAGGGACTGCAACACACGAGGCTTACAGTTTGGCTCTTAAGATACATTTTCCACACTAGTAATTACAGGAATCAAGCAGAAACGTGTATGGTGCATGAGTGACTTTACCTTTGCAAGAATCGTCCGCTCACGAACGTCAAATAAGTCTTTCAAAGCAGAGATCAACCGTAGCCAACTTTAACATCCGCCATTTCCCTACACTGATCATGAGCAGCCAGACTGGTTACCAGTTCCTGTCAGCAAATTTGAAATTTGAAAGAGAGACTGGCAGATTTGTAGTAAGCCTGTGACATCCTGAACAACAAATACAACTCTTGTACTTTAATAAGTTGTCTCTATACCGTCCTCCATAGATATTTACATTGTATTTTAGGAATTTAAGTTTATATTTTATTTTTTGAAGGTAAAAATTTTCAATTGGGACTTATGTCCTGTTATTCTTACCTGTCATACAACCAGTTTTTTTTTCGTTCATTTGTTGTTAACTGTTAGTGTTTGACGAATTCAATTAAACTAAACTAAACTGTCAAAAAATTAAAAACAACTCCCCCCCCCCAAAAAAAAGCGAAAAAAAAAGAACACACTTTGTGCGATACTACACACTTATCATGACATGTCAAAAACATATTATGTAATCCTGAGCACTGAGAAACAACAATCATACATACATATACAAAATTATCTTTATTGTTTGCCAGAACAAGCGAAGTCGCTTCAACGGGGAGTAAGGCCGTGGCCATTATCCCCTCTGATGCACCCGTAGTGGGGGGGAGGGGGGAAGGGTGGGTAAATGACAAAGGTAAGTTCTTGGGTTGAAAGCGAACTAAGTGACACATTACTGAATAAGAAAACGAGCGCAGGTGATATGAGCAGAATTTGAGTAACTGACGGATGCTTCATATTATGCCATTGGACAATACCTCACATATTTGTATCATAACTTTTAGCCATTTAAGAAGTGAAAGTATTTGGGGACGTGTCTTGAGGCAAATGCTCGGTTGTTTAGTGGAAAAAAGAATAGGTAGTTTAGATAACCAAGGAAGCTTCCAGAAGATCGATCCGTTGCAATTGTTTGATTTTCTTT